AAACCGGAAGAAATAGAAGAACCCGATGAAGTTTTCACCATTAAAGACACATTTAAACAACCTGAAGAAAAAGAAACTCTTACGGAGACCGTTGAAATAAAAGTTAAACCAAAAAGAAAATCATCAATTAAGAAAGAAGAAGCAGCTGATGAAATAACTATTAAAAAAGAAGAAATAATAGTTAAAGATGAGGAAAAACCAATAGAAGACATTGAAGTGACGTTAAAACCAAAGAGAAAACCTTCAATTAAGAAGGAAGAAGCAGCTGACGAAATAACTATTGAAAAAGAAGAAATAATAGTTAAAGATGAGGAAAAACCAATAGAAGACGTTGAAGTGACATTGAAACCAAAAAGAAAGACTTCGATTAAAAAGGATTTTGAGGAATTTGAAGATGTATATACTTTCAAACAAACGCCTAAATCAAAAATTGAAGATTATTCTGAAACTGTTGAAATTAAAATGAAACCCAAATCCAAACCATCATATAACGTAGATGAAGGCACAGAAGAGTTATTTAAAATCGAATTAACACCTAAAAAAGATCAACAAGACATAATTATCTATGAAGAGGAATCACTGGATATTAAAGTTAAACGAAAACCATCAATACAATCATTCAGCCAAGGTAAATAATTTAACTATATATATATATGAATGATTTCATATTCACTTCTTAATTTTAAACTATATTGTTGTTAATGCTTTGCTTTATCTTGTATTCAGATGGAGCTGAATTGAAAATCTTACAAGAAAAAGAAATTTTCATGAAGGGTAGGATGATCTTTGATCAATTTATTATAGCTTTTGCTATTGTTCCAGTTGTCGATTTTGCTTATCTGCTTTTAAATAATTTTTTTTAACTTAAAATGTTTACGTTCATTTAATTTTGAAATGGTTTTGTTTCAGATAATGCTATATTACAAGAAGGTAGTCATGATGGTGAAGTTATGTTTGCAATTCGTTCTTATATTGCCGAAAATGATGATGCTTTAGACTTAGTAGAGGGGGAAAAAGTTTACGTTATAGGTAATTTTTTTGCTGTTATATTTTATATATAAAAAAATAAAATAATGTTTTTGCATTAGAGAGTAATAATCAAGAATGGTGGTTTGTGAAGAAACATTTAACAGAAGAAAAAGGATGGGTTCCTTCTATATATTTAAGAGATGAAACTAGTTATATGCGATATGTGCAAAAGAAATTACACGAAAAGATCGATAAACTGCCTATATTTCAAAGTAAACTAGTTTAAAATTGTATTTTTATTTATATTTTTAAAATTACGAAACAATTTATCAATGTGTTAAGGACATACTTCAAACGAAAAGCCTTCAGCTCCGCGTTTTATTGAAAAACTTCAACCAAAACATGTGCCTGATGGTGGTACAGTCCAGTTTGAATGTCACGTAGAAGGAAATCCTAAACCACAAATAACATGGTTTAGGCAAACAGCAATTATCAAACCTTCTCAAGATTTTCAAGTGAGTATAATTCTAAACAAATCTATATATCTAATTTAAAATACATATTATTATTTTTTAAATCAAAATTAATTTCATTTAAGATATTCTATGATGAAGACAATGTAGCAACACTGATTATTA